AAAAATACAAAAAATTAGCCGGGTGTGGCGGCAGGCGCCTGTAGTCCCAGCTACTCGGGAGGCTGAGGCAGGAGAATGGCGTGAACCCAGGAGGTGGAGCTTGCAGTGAGCTGAGATTGCGCCACTGCACTCCAGCCTGGGTGACAGAGCGAGACTCCGTCTCAAAACAAAAAAACAAAACAAAAAAAACAAATGCATGTCAGACCACATCACTCCATCCCACTTAAAGTGAAGCCTAGTCCTGGCCTCTGAGGTCCTGCTGGGCTCCTGCTGCCCTCGCCACAGGTTCTACTCCAGCCCAAGGGTCACCCGTGAGTGCTGGGAAGGGCATCCCCAGCTTGCTCTTGCTCAAGACCTTAGCATCTGCAGTTCCCTTTCCCTTTATTACTTTGCTCCCATCTGTGCACGGCTGTCCCCTCCCCTTGTTTCATCCCCATCTCAGTTCTCATTTTATTGCATGGGGAGGATTTCTCCAACCTTCCCGTGTAACACGGTGCCCTCCCTGCCGTGCAGCCCCGGTCTGTTCTGTCTCCCTCGGTAGTGGTTAACCGCCCAACACACTGAGTGCTCTCTTGTTGGCTTAGTCTGTCTCCCTGCTAGAAGCAACCTTGTTTTATTTAGTGGACCCCCAGCACCTAGAACAGGGTCTGACACCCAGGCCAGGCCTCAATCCATACTTGTCGAATGAATGAGTGGAGCTCCATTTCCGCGGAGTCACTGAGATGTGGCTGAAGTAACAACACTAGAAGTCAGGGATACAGCTGGGGCTTGAAGCCAGGGCTGGTTTCACCCTGAGCTGTATGTTCTGCCTGTGTCCCTGAGAGGGGAAGGGATGGGACCCAGAGCACAGTCACATGGAGGGCCTCATCCAAGGGCACAGGGACCGAGGGGAGGAGGGAGCTGAGGCAGGCAGGCAGTGGTGTAGACTGCTTTGCAGAGCTGTGGGGAAGTAGCTCTGCAGGCCGCTGGCTTCTCTTGCCTTTCAGAAGCAGGTGGAAGGTCCTTTTCCCAAGAGAGGCAGAGCTGCTGAGGAGGCTGCAGGAATGCGCCATCTGTCCCTATAGTGTTAATGTCACTTCAGCCTCAGAGCTAGATGGGCGGCCCACCCTTTCCCTTCCCACTCCCACTGGCTCCTGTGCCCTGGCAGGCCAGGGCCTGGCGAAGACCCCCAAGAAGGCAGCACCTTCCTCTGTCTTTGACAATGCAAGATCTGATGGGTCCAAGAGTGCCAGCCCGTGGGAGTTGCAGTGCCAGGCCTGCCTGGCTGAGGGGCTGCCTTGCAGGCCCCTGCAGACCCCCCCCTCCTCTCCTGAGGGGGCCGGCTCCTGAGGGAGGACTGAGGCTGGTCTGAGGGGTGCTGGTGCTGGTCCAGCGGGGGGATGCTGCAGCCAGGTCTCCTCACCAGCCTGTCTCGGTACATTCCCTCCATGATGCAGACATCACGTTCATGTTCTTTTTGCTTTTTTAAAATGAAATTTATCTTTGTCTCCCATTGGAAAATGAATGCATGCTCATTATAGAAAATGTGGGAACAGATCAGAAGAAAGAAGAGTAAATAAAAATTGCTTTTTCCAATGTGGCATCACCACAGCTCCTCTGGCACAGGGTCCTGGGCTGGGCAGGGAGTCATGGACCATGTGGCCAACAGGCCATCGGGCTGTGGGTCTACAGGGGATGCCATGGGTGGCTCAGGCCTTCTTTCCTTGAGGGTTTGGGGAAGTGGTGCCGGCCCCCGCACGCTTGTCCGTAGTGTTGCAGAGAGCGGAGCTGACAAGAGTTGCTATATTTAATTTTGGTGCCTGCGTCACCTCTGACCACACAGCAGCGTCTACCCGGGCAGGCAGCACATGGCTGGGGGTGTTTCTGAACGACACTGTGAGAGAATCACTTTCCACAAGAAAAGGTATAGTGGAGGGGAAGGGAGAGACAGCAACAGAAAGTGAGGTCGTAAGTAGAAAATTGCTTCTGGGATTTCAAATGGCTTTGTCATGGGGCCCGCCCTTGCTGCCGAGAAATCAGTTGATCTGGGAAAGTTTGTTGCAAACCCTTGCCCTCTTGCTTTTGGGTGGAGCTGAGAAATGAATGAAGATAATGGGGCTTTATGAGTGTGGGGGAGGGCAGCTGAGGAGACAGCACCAGTCCTGACCCCAGCTTGGACCCCTAGAAAGGCCAGATAGGAGCTGACCAGCGTGTCCCTGGCCAGGCAGTCCTGTCTGGAACATAGTCAGCCTGGCCCCAGCCGGGCCTCCTTAGAAGGGAGGCAGGCGAAGCGGCGAACAGGTTTGCAGTGTGTTACCATGGACCAGCTAGATGGAGGTCATAAGCAGAAGACGTTTCTCTTTGACCATAATGAAAAAGTGATAAGCCGCTGGGCCAGATGAAGTCCAGGCTTCAAGCTGCTGCCTCTGTCACAAGGAAATAAGAGATGGGCCTGGTCCCCCTGGGGCCTGCTCCTTCTTGTCCTGCGCAGGACAGGGGGCCAGCCTCGGAGAAACCCGCCAAGTGACTGGGAGTGTTTTCTGACACCTCATCTGAGCAGCAAACTGAGGTGTTTGGTTCACCGGAAACTCGCGTGTATCTCACTTCTCACTTAAGCCCAGCCCCTCTTCCAGTGAAACCTCCTGGGCTGGGGTTCCCGAGGTGCCAAGGGGCTCCCCGACCTGGGCCCCATGGTCAGCGTCTTCCTCCCACTCACCAAGCACTCTTCTCCCTTTTCAACCCCCTTCTCTCTGAGCCCTGCTGAGGGCTTGCCTTGTTTATGAAAGAACTTAGGCCACGTGGTTAGAGAAAACTCCCAGCAAACACCGCCAGGGGTCAGTCCCCAGGGAGGGAGGTTCCCAGCCACAGTTGCAGCCACTGACACTTACCTACCTTGTTCTCTCTTCCTTTCTCACTCCTGACAGGGCCCTCTCCCTGTCGCCACCAGCTGCAGCTCGGTTCTGTGGCTCCGTAAGGCGTCCCTCATCGCTGGAGAGCCCCATGCCCTCTCCAGCACAGGGCGCACTGCCAGTGACCACAGGCCCCATTCCTGGGGGGCAGCCTGGAAGGTGTGAGAGACAGGAGCTCCACAGTGGCTGAGGAAGTGGCAAGCTGCAGACCCCTAGTGGTGGGGCCCGGGACGGCCGTTGGCCGTCCGCACTGTGCACCTGCCTCGCAGGCCGTCCTGAATGTGTGGCTCAGAGCAGGGCCTTGGAGGATCCCGAGGAACTCTGCCCCCCATCAGTCTCAATTCCAGTCTTTGTTCTTGAAGGAGTCACGTGGAATTTCACTGGAAGGGTTTCCATCTTCTTTCTGGATAGGCAGGGCAATACTTTGGCTGGCAGAGAGGACATGGGTCAAAGATGGGAGATGGATTGCTAGGTCTTGTTTACAAAGTCATTGCCCTCCATAAATATCCTTCCAGCCTTAAACCCTAGACTCAGAATGCCGAGACCCTGAATCCCACCCACCTCCTCTGGCTTCCGAGACTCTCCCACCCTCCGCGGAAGCAGCTGCTGCTCACCTCCAGAGGGGAGGCCCTCCCGAGGGAGGACATACAGCTCCCCGCAGCAGACCCTGTGTTGTGTCTACAGAGTTCTTTCTGGGGCTCAACCTGGAGTGCATGTGGTGTCTTGGTTGTCACTAGCCCAGGTGTCTGCTGTGGTGGTCCCCTGCAGGTATTCCCTCAGCAAATGTGACAGGACTTAATAGGCTTGGCACCAGAGAGCTGGTCCTGTCCCCTGCCCGGGACAGCCTGCTGGAGACCCAGCTCTTGCACCACCACCCTCTTCACCCCCACAGTCTTCTCTCCTCTGGGCCAAGTGTCCCCTGCCCCTGCACTGTCGGGTTTGCCTTCTTCCCTTGCCTCTCCCTGGGGAAAGTGAGTGGTTCTGGAGTAGCTGACTGCCATCATCAGCCCCCTGGTCAACTCCCTGCCATGTCCTCTGCTGTTGCGTGAATGACACAGCCGTGAGCAGCAGAGGGCGGCTGCCTTCAGGGACTTCTGAGCATCACTGTGGTGTCCTCGTGGGGCTCTGGGCTCCCCAGGGAGGGCACCTGCCTGCCACTACAAGTTTGAGACTGGTCCTTGATGACTATCACCCATTGCAAAGGCATCCCATCCTGGAGTCACCCTCTGCCCTGGGCACCTCCCAGAGAGTCACAATGAAAAACATTGCTGACGGGCATGGCCTGGAGCTGTGGCTTGGTAAGGCCTGCTGGTCTCTGCACTCCAGCTGCTGGCCAGGGCCAAGGGAGAAGCAACAAGAGCTGCTGAGGAGTGGCCTAGCCAGAGCCCTGTTCACAGAGGCAGTGCGTGTGTGCACCTTAATGGTGAGAGCTGTCCAGAAAGGCAATGGGCTGCCTCTCAAAAATAGTAGGGAACTCCCTGTCAGTGAGATGGCCCAAACAGGTTGATGACAATCTTACAGAGGGAAAAACTCCATTCAGGACAGGTGACATTTGGACAGAAATAGGCAGGGTGGTTAAGTGTGTGGGCTTTGGAGTTAAAGTGAGTTTTGGGCCCCAATCCCAGCTTTGCTTCTTTACCTCAGATGAGCTCTGAGGCCCCAGGATCCCAGTGAGGAAGTAGCTATGTGACCTTAGGCAAACCACCCACGCTCTCTGAGCCTCACAGTTCTCATCGGCCTCCTGGGTTGTGAGGGAGACATGAATGTGTGGGTGGTGCCAGACACAGCTGGCCAGTCCTCAGGAGATGTGATCGTGAGACTTCCTGGGTCTCCGTCTGCTCCTCATGCCCTCCTTGAACCCTGACAGCCTGGCCCAAGTCTCTCCGTCCTCGCTGGCACGGCAGACAGAAGGTGGAGCTTCCTTCAGGCCATGTCCCCACCCCCAGGAGCTAGCTTGCTTTCAGCCAGGTCACTGCACCCCATCCTCACTGTAATCCATCCCAGTCCCCTCCTCCAACCCGCCAGCCTCCCAAAGAGCTCCGCAGAGTCTTCAGACCACCCACCAGTGTCCCCAAAGGCCAAAATGAAAGACAAATACAATCAGGCCTATTCGTCACCAACTTTATTTCTGGCTTCAGTTTGACAGTCAATGAAACAACTTGTTCAATGTCCCCTCCCCCAGTGTTCAAGGTACCCTTCTATATATTATTAACTCTTTGCTAACATATTTAATATTTAAATACAAGGAAAAACAATAAATTACTCGTTGGCTGAGAGCTGGCTGCTGGCTGGCAGACAGGAGCAGCTGTTCTGCTCCTCTCCTGACCCTGCCTCGGATGAGGCTTCGAGGCCCCAGGACCCCAGTGAGGTAGCAGAATTCTGTACACAGTACTTATTACCAGGGACTCCTGGTGTCCACTGCTTTAGTGCTGGGGCCCTGAGTCTCTGAACCCTTGGCTCCAAGTGCCAGCAGCCACAGTCTTTCCCAGTCCCCAACGCTGACAAACACACTCATTTAAATAACACACAAAAATAAATAAGGCCAAGAAGAAATGTGCCTGAGCTGCTCTCTGCCTCAGTTGCCTGTGTGTGAAGTGGGTACCTCTCCCACCACATGTCTGGCAAGGGGGGCACCCACTGTAATGCTACAGTGTGCTCTAGGGCAGGGGAGGGGTGTAGGGACGCGTCATCCCCGGATCCACTGAGCTCAGGGCCCTGGACAGAGGAGGCCCACCAGGCTGAGCCCTGGGCAAGGGGAAGGCTGGGGTCGGCTAGGCTGAAGACAGGCAGCACAGGCTGAGGTCTAAGCTAAGGAATTTTACCCCCTCCCTAACCCTCTTCCCCACCTCCCCAAGACACTTTTGACAACAGAAAGAAAAATGAATCTGCAACTTCAATAGTCAGGTCCTGTCTCTGCAAATAATGATGCTTTCGATGTTTCAGTTGAACTGTCCCTCGCGAAAAAGTTTCTTTAAATGTAAGAGCAGATCCTTTACAAACTGGGCCACCTCGATTTTGGTGTCTCGGACACGCAAGCTGGAAAACTGCTGCAAGACAAAGAGGCCAGCGCGTGAGTGGGACGCCAGAGGGCAGAACGGCCTGCACAAACCAGGGGCTTTCCAGGGACTGTCTCATTCAGTCCTCACGGAAGTCCCCATGAGGTGAGTACTGTTAGTACCTCTACTGTACAGATGTGGACATTGAGGCCCAGGTAGGAGTCAGGAGCCCTTGAACCCAGGTCCTGTAATCCCGAAGGCCATGTCCCTGCTGCCACAATGGCCCCAGCCCTGGGTAGACACACACCTTGGGTATTCAGCCAGCTTCCCTTCAGCGAGCCCAGGGTTGGCAGGAGGGGGTGCAGGGTGGGGGTGGGAGGTTGGGGGGCACCTTACCCCAGCTGAGACCTTGTGCGGGCAGAATCCGTTCAGCATCCTCTGGGTCTTCTCGATGGCACTGCAGCCTGACACGTTGATCAGGGATTCCAGGGCTGCACAGTACTGTGGAGAGGGGACACTGAGGGGTTAGGCCCTGCTGGGGTGGCTGCCTTTTGTGAGTCTGCAGGAAGATGGGGTTGAGATGCCTGGTGCAGATGAGTCTGGGTGTTGGGAAGGGCCCAGATTATTGGGGGAGGGAGGAGAGCGCTTGAAGCTTGCTTGGAACCCCAGTCATGGAAGGGAGTCTCAGAGAAGACAGGCCCAAGGCCTGGAGCCTCTGCCCCATCCTCCCTGCACCTGAAGGTCCTTACCACGCCAGCTGTCAGGTTGATGCTCCACACCATGCTGCCATTGCAGAGCGGGGCCTGCGGGAGCAAAGTGACAGTGAGCAGAGTGCTGGCAGGGGTCGTGGGCCTGCCCTGCCAGCCCAGGCCAGGTCTGCACCAGCACAGGCCCCACACGCATCCCTCGTGTGGCGCAGAGGCAGGCCTGGCAGCCCCTCAGCGTTCCTGAGCTTCGTTTTCTGCTTTGAACAGCGAGCATGGGGGTGAGGACCCATGTATAGGGTCTTGGAATTAAAAAAAAAAAATTGAGTGACACCACTAGTAAGGGACAAGCTGCATGCGAGGCTTGCCATAGTCAGGGCAAGAGGACAGGGGCCTGTGGAAAGGGCCAGGGTGGGGATGAGTGAAGTAGTGGTGGCCTGGGCCACTGTTGACCAAGACAAATCAGATGGAAGGCAGTGGGGGTCTGGTGTATTAAATGCCCTGCCTTCTGATTGTCAGGGAACATTGCAGTTAGGAGCATGGGCACTCTGGTGTTGGCCAGGCCTGGCTTGAATCCAGCCTCTGTCACTTAACCTCACTGAACCTTAGCAGAATGGGTTCATTGTACCTGCCTCTTGAGGTGGCTGGCAGTGATGAAATGACACATAAAGCACGTGTTTCAGGCCTGGTGTAAGCAGCGCTCAAGACATGTGAGCTGTTACTAGTGAGGCAAGGAGTGGACTCTACTCACAAATCCTCCTGTAAGGGCAGGCCTATTACGGTGCTGGGGAGAATGGCTGCATTATTATGGTCAAAATCCAGCTGGCAAATGCCACATGGTTCTGGGAGGGTGCTGGCCCTTCTCTGCTGTCCTGTGTTCAGGAATGGCTGAGTAGGAGCTGGCAGTGGCAGACAAGGCCAGGCCAGGAGAGCAGGTAGTCCCTGGGGACTCTGCCAGACCCCTTCATAGGTCCATCCACACTGCTGAGCCCCCCAGCCCAGCTCCTCTCTCTCTCATGGCTGGGCCAGGCCTTGGTCCATGGGGATTCTTCCTGACCCATAGGCATCTTAGGATCCAAGCCCAGCCTGCTCATTACCTCATCCTGGGAATCACCCGCCCTGGAGCCCTCATAGCTAGGACCCTGGCTAGCCGACACTCACCTTCTGGTTCTGGGTGATGTTGACCAGCTCCTCAATGAGCTCCTTGAGGGCTGTAGAGGGAGGCACAGGGCTTGGGGAGGCAAAGCCGCCGAGGCAAGTGAGAGCAATGACCATGGTCAACAAGAGCGCCATGAGGCCCAGTGCCAACAGGAGAGGATTGAGGAGCGGACGCATAGGCTGGGTGGCTTGTGGCCTTGGCGTCTTGTGGCAGCTTTTATAGGCCCAAGTCGTGACGCCTGACACCATGGTCTCTGCTTTTTCAGGCACTATCTAGAAACCACATCTTTACTCATCTTGATTTTACTTTGTGGAAAATCCAGTGTCGCATAAAGGAAAGAGTTTGATTTCTCGTGGACTTATTGAGAAGGGTCCAGGGCAGAGTTTCCAAGATCTGGGTGGGTTTAATTCCAGCGGCAGGCAAGGGACCCTGAGAGTGGCATGGCATCTGCAATGCTGCCCTGAGTTCCAGCAGTTTTGCCTGTGACAACCCTGAGTACCTGGACAGCTGACCCAACTCTGAGCTCCTGTCCTCAGACCCTTTTGGGTCACCGGAAGTGCTGGGCAGATAGTGCACTGTGGCTGTGGCCACAGTCTACCAGCTATGGGAATTCGGGGAGTTTTACTTTTTTAATAAACCAGTCTCTTAAATTACTTAAGTAATACTTGCTTGGATACAAAATTCAAACAGGCAATAGAAGAGTAAAGTTCACTTCTTTTGGCTTGCCTAATTCCTCCTTGGCCCCACTGTGGGAGGGATTGTCAAAAGTCAGATTTCCAGGTCTCCACTGAGCGATCCAGACAGGTTCAGAGGTCTTCCTGGGACCTTTTTTGGTGTTTTTTGTTTTTTTGGAGATGGGATCTCACTATGTTACCTGCCTAGGTTGGCCTCCAACTCCTGGACTTAAGCGATCCCCCCACCTCAGCTTCCAGAGTGGCTGGGAGTAGTGTGCACCAGTGTCTGGCCCCTTTAATTTAAAGTGCACGGGCCATCCTGCTGGGAAACTCTTAACCGGGCCAGGCTGGCAGCCTTAGTTCAGGTCAGAGATTATAAGTGTTCCTAGTGCCACTGGGACTTGGGGTGATCCCGTTTGCTCACCAGTCTCTGCAGGATCAACCCCTGCCGTCTGGGGGCCTCAAGTTTCCCTTCTGCAGAATGAGTGCTGTGGAGGGGCGGCTCCTGGGCCCGGCCCCTGCAGCCATGTCGCCTTTTCCTGCTCTTCCCTCATTTTCCTAGAAGTCCTCCAGAAACCCCCACAACAGAGGCCACGGCATTTGCCTGTTGGGTGTTGATGTCAAGATTTCTCCTTTACCCACTTCCTCCCCGAGCCAGCGCCTCCCCAGCCCCCCTCTCTGCCTGCTCAGGCTCCCTCCGTCCTGTCCTCAATGGGGCTCAACCTCCTCACAAGGGTGTGCTTGTGACCTGTGCCACAAGGGATGCTGGATTCCCGCCCAGAGGCATCCCAAGCTTGCTCACCCTCTCTTCCCACAGGGAACATCATTCCCACCCTCTCTGTCCACACTCGAAGCTTCCCAGCCCAGCTGCTGGCCCTGACTCCCAAAAGTCTGCCCCTTCCCCTCGAGCGCCCCCAGTGCCTGGAGTGCCGCTACTTGGCTGTGTGACCCCTCTACGGGCCTGTTTCCTAACCTGTAGTAGAGAGTCCATGGCATCTCCCATAGGGTCTCCATCATGGGGGAAGCAGCGGGGAACTACCCTGGGCTGTGCAACTCCCAGTGCCCCGCCCGGATGAGTCAACGCCCCCGTAACCCCCACGGCTACCAAAAGCCCAGCCGGGAGCGGTGGGCAGGCGCGCCCCCGCGCGTGGGAGAAGGCGCTGGCGCGGCGGTTGCGGCGGCGATGGCCCGCGGAGATAAGGGAGTGGCCTTATGTAATGGGAGATAGGCCCGATAAGCGGGATCTGCGCGGCCGGGCCCTCCTCCACGGCCTCCGGCGGTGGCCGGTGCGGGAAGCAGGGGTGGGCGCGCAGACCGGCCTGTCTGGAAGCTACGGAGGCTGGCGAGGGGGCGGCAAAAGTGGAAGTGGTGGTCCGAGCGCCAGGCAGGGCAGGGGCCAGCTGGACACCTGGGCCCGCGGCGCCCCGTGCGCCAGTGCGCACCGGCGAGGGCGGGAGCGGCGGAGGGGCCGAGGCGCACACGTGCTCCTCCTGCACCGGCTGTATCAGGCCGAGGGATCCTGCGGGCCCGGCCGAGCAGCAGCACCTGCCCTCGAGGGTGGTCACCGCGGACCGAGGCGTACCGGGCCGTGCGGAGAGGCGCGGCCCAGATGGCTACATCAGAGGGTCTGTTGCTTGTTTCTAGATTGTCAGTGGAGCTCCACTCCCGTGCGGGCAATTTTAATTAACACTTACTACCAAAGGGCCGCTCCGGGCACTTGGCGCACGTGGCTCGCACCTGCCTGCAATGCGCCGCGTGGGCCGCCCGCTGATGGCCAGGGGGAGCCTCCCCGCTTTGCTCTGGCGCCGAAGCGCTGGGATTGGGACCGCCCTTCCTCCGGACCAGCTCACCCTGGAAAAGCTGGGAAAGCTGGGGTTGCTTTTTCGGGTTTCCTCGGACTCTGGGTCTCCGTTGGCAAAGACATGCCCAGTCGGGAGGAGTAAGGCCTGAGAGAGTTGTTTTAGTAAGTGAAACGATTTAATTTTTTAGATTTTTATTTTTAGGAAAGTTACGAATGCCGATAATTGTAAAAATCAAGAAGGTTCATTATGTAAAGCGGCAGCGCTGGGAATCCGTGCTCTACGGGCCTCTGGCATTGCTGCTCCTCTTGTGAGTGAGGCACTCACTGCCCTGCTGTTTCCCTTACTGTCTTTTAAAGGTTGTTTATATTGCAGACAGCCTTGGAAGAGATAGCACCTTCCTCCGGAGCTAAAGGCAGGCGCACTTCCCATTCTAAAACTTCAGGCTCCCTAAGCTCATGCTTCCCCTCCTGTAAAGCAACCCATTTGTGCAGGTGCCAGCTGGCCCTCTCTGCGTCTCCCTGGGAGAACTGAAATTCAGGGAACAAAAATGTTCATGCTCTGCTACTACTTCTGTGCATAATAAACATGTTTGCCGTTGATGCAAGAATCCTGTGTCTTCTACCAGCATCCACGAAACTGTGAAGTGTGGCATGCTGACTTGTTAGCTTGTAAGTAGAGGAAAAACTCGGATCTCTCCATTTTTGACAAGCAGCCTTCCCCCACCCCAGCCTCTTATCCAGGGAAACCTCTTTATCTCCCTTCATGGCTCTAAATTAAGCCTAGGTTGCTGTTTCTTGATTTTTTAGACATAGGCGCTGTTGTCTACAATGAATATTTCGTTCTTTCTTTCTTGCTGTCCTTCCTCCACCTGCATCCTTCCTTTTTTCTCATCAATACAGATAGATCATAATTTGGGTCAGTCAAAAGCCTTGTATGCTGTTTGCCTAATGATACTAATATATTCACAGGTGAAACATGGTTGGCTATGAATACTTTTATTTTCTTTCAAAACTTTTTACCTCTGGAGTTAATAATTATCTTGTTTTTCCATATTCTTAGTTTTCTGTGTTCCTCTCAGTGACTGAACCCTAAACTCTCGACCAAATACATGAAACTACTCTCAAGAAATTTGATGAGTTTTTCTCATAATTCATCTTCCTAAGAAAGCCGGGAGGTCAGGCCGTCTGGCCTGCTCTGATCTAGCACTGCCCCCGACTCTGCCACACAGCCGTCTGAGGCCTGTCGCCACTGCCCTGGGAACTCCCTTCGCCACTGTGTGTGCTTCTCTTGAGTTTTTGATCTTTCTTTTTTCTTGGGTAAACATATCCCCTGATAGCTTTCTAATAAAGGGTGTGGAGAAGGTAAACTTTTTGAGAACTTGCATGTCTAAATAGATGTTTTATCCTCAAGTTGAATTTGACAGTTTAGTTAGGTATAGAATTTTAGGCAGGAAATACTTTTCTTTCAGAATTATAAAGGCCTGTGCTGTTGCCTCCTATCTTCCAGAAGTGCAGAAGTCTAGAACCACTTTGAATCCAGATCTTTCCTCACTCCTTTTGTAGAAATTGTCTTGGTCCCCACACTCCACATTTTACAACAATGTGCCTTGGTATAGTTCTGTTCTCAACAACTGTACCAGATACGTAGTGGGCCCTTTCAAACTGAAGACAAGCCATTAAGTTCTGGTAAATTTTATTTCTTTAAAAAACCTCTCTGTTGTTTTTACTTCTTTGATTGTTGTTGTTGAGACAGAGTCTTGCTCTGTTGTCCAGACTGGAGTGCAATGGCGTGATCTCAGCTCACTGCAACCTCCGCGTCTCAGGTTCGAGGAATTCTCCTGCCTCAGGTCCCGAGTGGCTGGGAGTATACACATCCGCCATCACGCCTGGCTAATTTTTTGTATTTTTAGTAGATGGGGTTTTGCCATGTTGGACAGGCTGGTCTCCAACTCCTGATCTCAGGTGATCTGCCTGCCTTGGCCTCCCAACATGCTGAGATTACAGGTGTGAGCCATCGCTCCCGGCCCTATTTTTACTTCTTATCTTTGAATAAATATTCCATTCACATGGCACAAAAATAAAAACTATATACATTATTTATTCCTCCTTTCTCCCTTCTTTGGGTTGTACATGGTATCGTTTCTTGTTTGGTTGTTCAACACAGAGGTTAGGGACACCCATCTTCACCCTGTTTTTTCAACCCCCAGCCATGCAGTTGAAAATCCACATATAACTTGACTTCCTCAGAACTTAACTCCTAATAGCCTATTGTTGAGTGGGAGCCTTATTGATAACATAAAATGCGTTAACACATATTTTGTATGTTATATGTATTATATACTGTATTCTTACCATGAAGTAAGCTAAAGGAAAGAAAATGTTGGCTTGGTGCAGTGGCTCATGCCTGTGATCCCAGCACTTTGGAAGGCCAAGGCAGGCAGATCATTTGAAGTCAGGAGTTTGAGACCAACCTGGCCTACATGGCAAAACCCTGTCTCTACTAAAAATACAAAAATTAGCCAGATGCACTGGTGGCACATTCCTGTAATCCCAGCTACTCAGGAGGCTGAGGCTGTAGAATCACTTGAACCCGGGAGGCAGAGGTTGCAGTGAGCCAAGATCACGCCACTGCACTCCAGCCTGGGTGACAGAATGAGACTCCATCTCAAAAAA